TAAGCCAAATAATAGGCCAATTCATAGGTCCCAAAAAGATTGAAATGAGCACCATTTAAGTGAGCTTGTTTTAATTTTGTATAAAGGAAAGAAGTGTAGGAGAGTACACTATGAAAATATATAATCTTTCTATAAGACTAAGGACATTAAAATTAACGTTGTTTGAGATAATGTAGTGCACTTGGTATTGCTATCTTATTTGCACAGTTTAGGTCTTTAAAATAAACTATAATATTTAAAGACAAAATAAGCTCTTATTGAACTTATTCCCTGATATGTGTAAGATGAAGAGAGATTAAAGCGAGAGAAGATAAAATGTTCTCACTTAGCTACTTTTTTTAAAGATACTGCCATTAAGAAGAGAAAAATAGACAATAAAGAAAAAAGAGTTGTTTGCAATGAGACTTCAAGGCCTAAAGTATAATATAAAAAGGATAATGTTACCACATATTTCTTTTACAAAAAAGTTGGTTATGTGAAGAATGATTGTTCTAAGTATGTCAAGTAACTTATTAAGAAAGATATTATTTCTCAACTTTATTCATTCTAAAGTTAATTTTGTTTTAATACAATCTGACATTTGATGACTAGATAAAGAGACAACTATTCAGATATGTGTGACAATATAGGGTTGTTTAAGCTATCAAAAGCCGACTGATATTGAAAGATTTATCTATATGGGATATGGCAAAAAGGCTCATGTTGAACCAATTAATTTATGTAGATTACAAATAGAATTTAGTCATACTTTAGATTTGAATGAGATTGTTTTTGTAGTCTTTTATATAGAACTAACTTGTTTCTATTTCTCGTGGGGATATATCAGATTATTCTTATTTAGTTAGAAATAAAAAAAATTAGTTGTTACTGAAATTTAATCAATACTAGTTATTTAATGAATATAAAAAAATTAGTTGCTACTAAAATTTGATCAATACTAGTTATTTAATGAATAATTTATGTAAGTTGAATGTTTTCTCACATATTAATAAATTCTTGCATAAAGTGCAAATTGGTTAATATGAATTCTTTCATGTTATAGCACACGTGTTTATGTCATATTTTTTAAACAGAAATAATTAGAATATTTGAGTTTGATAGAATTCTCAATTTCCTTAATTTCTCAAATTTAAAATTTTCATTGAATGCATGACAAGAAAACAAATAAAAGTCAAGAACCTTAGTGCCATTAGGAGTTCAAATATATTTGAATTAATTTAATCATCTCCTTACAACTGAGAACAATAATGTTTTGTTACTTTTATAGATGATTATTCCCGTTATGGCTACCTACATAAAAAGTCTCATTCGTTGGATATGTTTAAAACTTACAAAACTAAAATTAAAAATAAGCTTGATAAGAATATTAAATCTATTTAATATAATAGTTAGAATAGATATTATGGTATATATGATGAAACATGTGAACAAAATCTAAGACTTTCTGTGAGATATTTAACATAATTTGACATCATTCCCCAATACACCATGCATGAGACTTCAAGTCAAAATGGTGTCATTGAGATATGTAGGACCCTAAAAGATATGAGAAAAAGTATGATAAATAATTTTTTCTTATTAGAATTACTATGGGAAGACGTCTTAAAGACAACTATACGTGTGTATATATACATATATATTCCTAACTGAATTTCAAGTAAAGTAATACAAATATTTCATATGAATTATGGACTAACAAAAAGCCTAGTATTAAACATTTGTTCATATGGAGCTTTCTAGTTGAGGTTTCACCATATAGGCCTAGTGAAACAAAAATGGACTCAAGAACAATAAGATACTACTTTGTTGAATACTAAAAAAGTTCAATGGAGTTCAAGTTTTATGATCCACTAAATACATCCCTTTTTGACATGTAATATTAAGTTCATTGAGCATGTTAAACATAATGGAAGTGTTAAGCTCAGGGATTTAAGGAGGAATATATTATTATTCCATAGTTGCATTTAGAAATATAAAGTAATTATACTTAACATTATTCAAGATGCAAATAAAGATGAAAATATGAGTGAGAGATGAACTTGACATCTTGATAAATAAGTTATAACATTCAGAGAAACACAAGTGAGAGATGAACTTAATACCTTGATAGATAAGTTGCAGTATTCGGAAAAACAAGAGTGATAACTGAACTTCTCACCTTATAGAAAA